CCCCAAAACCCCAAAACCCCAAAACCCCAAAACCCCAAAAATTCCAACTTAAAATGACGCTCATAATAAGTTAAAGTAGGAAATGACAACTGAATATTTCAAAGTGTAGCAAACTTAGGAAGAATGGCTAAAGAATGAAAGTGCAAGGTCAAGAAGGAGGAGGAGAAGGAAGGGAAGAGGGAGGAAGGTTTGGATAAGGGGGTGATGGTTAGAGTTTACTACGGATTGAGCTCTTCTCTGCTCCTTGTGACCTGTAAGATTCCAGGAACTGTTCATCGACAGTGAAGTTGAGCTGGACTTCTTGGTGGAACTTGTTGTAGTACTGGGTGCTGATGAAGTCAATGAAGGGGTTCATTTGTTCATTGATGAGTTTTGGAAGTGAGTGGCCTTTATTGTGTCTGATGATGATATGTTCACTTTTGTCGCAATAAGCTTTGATATAATGTTCTTCAAGAACGTCATTGTCATCAAACAAATATAGCGCCTAAATTTAACAACCAATGTTACAGGAATTGAATAATCTTGCCCTATAACTTCAATAAATGGATATTTCTTCCACATTCTAGGAGATGCCAGAATCATAAACCTTGGCATATGAGTAATAACAGGAAATCCTAATTCTTTCCCTTTCACCAATGCTCTTACAAACAATCTATACCAAAGCATCATATCAAAATTTCAAATCAATTTGGCTTCAACTCAACCTACCCTCCTTGAGAAAACCCATAAATACCATCAAAAGGTCCATTTTGTTCCACAAATTCATAAAGGAAGTTATAAGACTCCATAAATGTCTCGTTATCACCAATTCCATCCTTGCCACTGCCAATCCAGTAGTAGAAGGGGCCTTCAAACTTGGCTTTGAGCCGAGGATCGAATACTTCTTGGTCAGGAATTTTATGAGGGGCTTCGACGAACACGAATTCAATGTAATCTTTGAAAATAGTCTGGTAGTAGTCAAGTTGGGCTTCAAGAACCTTGGCATTGTTGTAATACCCATGAATGCACAAAATTCTTAATTTTTTAGGCTCAGAATCCATATTTTTAATATCTCTTCAACTTTTCAGAGATGCATTGGGGTTTTGGGGTTTTGGGGTTTTGGGG